TTTTCGATTCGGGGAATCGTGTTACAAGGAGAAGATACTTAGTCGAAATCACCAATTCAGATGAGACATATATTATCCGCAGAAGCATCCCATTCAATGTTAAATTATACATCCAAAAAACTAGTAAAACGTTTGTCATCGCCTAAAAGAAGAAACGCTGAAAAACGCTGGTTGCAGAACCCATTTTAATTACGCACATACTAGGGCCCGTAGTAAACCCCACCTGGTTGTCACAACATAGAGGGACTATGTCGTGATAGCTCGAAGTATCTCGCAAGACTATAGCGAGCTATCCGCAGGGCGCCGCAAAACCAATGCATAAACGCGTGATCGAACCACTGATAATCGCAACAGCAGCGCCCACAGAAACTGCGCTATAAATAGGCAATTTTGAAGGTGTACCAGAATGGGAAGTGCCTGGAACAGGCAGAGCAGCGTAGGTAACTTATTATGACCGAAACGGCGTGTAATACTCCACACAGTGTGCCTAGTAGATATTAGTATTGTAGAAGTACTAACCGCCTGCACAACTACCGTAAAATTGCACATGCAAGCCAATTTTATTAGCAGTGCAGATAGCGCAGCGTCAGTGTCGGATGTCAGTGTGGTTGGCGTCGGGGTACAAATCCTGCCTCGAGCAACCTTTTGCAAGTGGTGGATCTTCAAATTTCCATATTTATGAGCCTAATGAATTATCTAGAGTAAAAAGATTGTATGCAAAACACATCAAATCGAGAATGCACAGGAAAAAGCATTATATAAAATAATTATCACTTTAGCCTGGGCAAATATGAGCTATTCCAGCAGCCATAGTGCCAGATGGTCCCTTCACTTAAAAACAGGATGGAAACAAGAGGCTCACAGCTAAGGAATGGCAAACCAGCAAGTGAAGAAGTGGAAAACATTGAGGAGTTTTGGCATAAGCAGGATATTTGGTGCGCAAATGAGATGCATCGTGAGAATAAATAAGAACAACAGCAACCATTATAAAATGTGACCAAATATGGATCTAATACATCTTTTAGTCGAAAGAAACTCACCTTTTTGAACACCAGAGCGTGCAGCTTAGGAAATATTTCGGAAATGTAGGAAGGCACATTGCTCGGCGCTGTTGGGCGCTTATCAGCTGTTGATATTGATTGCAATTGACGTGCGTTACAGAGAACCGTGTGCATGTGCGACCTATTGCAAGGTTGGCGTAGTCGAGCTCTAGTCTTGCGCTATGTCTCTGCGTCTCCATGATGGACAAAGTATTTCGCCGTCTCGTCCGTCACGACATGTCGCGATATATCGCGACATATATCGACAAAGTGGGACTACCCTTGCGCTTCGCATTGATTGCGTCCGCCGGCAATGATAAAGGATAGCCGCCTTGCCTGCCTCGCTCCATGGTAGTCAGCACATGTCACAGCAGACTCCGAGCTATACGTCAGCACATACGGAGGGTTTACTACAGGTCTAGGAAACATCTTTCTGCAATAACTGTTTCAAAGACGAGGAGGTTTGAAAGTTTGAGTGTGAGACGAGGATGACCGACAAACATTTATTTGCACTTGACAAAATGCAAAAATACATGATAAAAAGCCTTCATATATAAAGTCTAATGACACTAAAACGCTAAGGAATCAAAGAACTAAAGTAACGATATTCCAGAATTTGAGGAAAAAGCAAAATTGAGCTAAATGACTCACATGAATGCGTGGGGTTGAGCAGTACGATAAAGATAGGGCCAGTCTACGTCATTTTTGCGAGTAAAATTGTGTGGGAAATCAGTATTCATAGTTGTGTGGTGCGGAATGCAAGAACTGTTCAATATATTACTACGGTACTTTCAGGAGATGCAATATTTTGTAGAATTAAAAAAACAATTCATGGCGGAGGCCGCACAGGAATTCTTTCATACTACGCCGCAGGACGCAACAGCCTGCCTCAGCACGCCGCGTCCTGCGGTGTGCGCCGCTGCAGCCCCAGTAAAAAATGCTCGCTCGCTGTGAAGGAACACTCCCGAAAAACACGAACGTGCAGCAAATATAGATACATCCATAACCGGCGAAGCTGTGCTGACGTGAGCGTATATTTTCACTGCGACTGCAGCGACCGCAGCACGCGGCATCCGGCGGCGTGCTGCCGCGTGCTGCTGCAAGTGGCCCTTGATAAGGACTGTAAATGCTTGCAGTGTAATTAGCCCTTGATCCACGACTGAGCCGCTGACCGCAGCACTGTAGCGTATCAATTCTGTGCTTGTGGGTCAGCACACTTGCTACAACCTCAAACTGGCGCAAGTCGGAATGGTTATCAGGCTCCAGCTCGTGATTGCCTAACAAGTAAGTGTCACAAAGTCGAAGGGTCAGCTCATTACAAGATGCACATTATTGCGAAGGGCAACAGTAATTGCGTTGGAAATTTTCAAGATGGATAGTAGCCAATTCACCTCAGTTGTTTATTGCTTTTTGCAGTTAATGATATGAAAGCTAAAAACAGAAAAGGAGAGATTAGGAACATGCCGATTGCGAAAATGACCATCGATTCGGTAAACCATAGATAAATCAGATCTTTAAATAGTTTCTCGGGCTATCATAAACTGGTGAGATAGAAATGGGTATTACGAAAAGCGAATCTACAAGCAATACTTGTTATAGTCAATTCTGATCCTCAAATTTCTTTCAATAACTTTGACCTAAGTGAGAAGGCGTGTGTAAATATAATACCTTCAAGAAACATATCGAGTGTGAACCCCGCATTCTCTCAGTATCAGTCCTGGATAGGCTCGAGAGAGAAGAGACTGTTCCACTTAAAGGCAGTGTCCGGACAAGGTGGGGATTTTGGAATTTTTATACCATGTAAAAGTGCCCCCCCCCCTCAGACACAGCATCCTGCAATACGAGGTTATAACGTTTGACCTAAAGCAAGAAAAATGATTGGGAATTGGGGAAATTAACGCCTTAGGACGGGGTCCTTCGACCTGTTCAAATTCCTGCTATGCGGCAGAGTACGCATACCGCCACAGTCAAAATTGTAGGGTCTCGCAGCGACTTTGCGTCTCAGCCTTGATGGAGACCATCGAATTTCAAATGGTACGGCTTTGGGAAACGCATGTTCTCGCCGTTTTCACGCTTTTTAATGTGGATTTCCGGATTCAGCGTTGCGGATAACCCTCGGTACGTGGATTTTCTGACAGTCGAGTTTTTCCGGACACTGCCTTTAACTTCAGATTTACGAATGCGGCACTGGCGCGTAGGAATGAGTTTGACGAGCTCTATCGTGATTTTTGCTGCAAAATCAGTAGTCCGGGTTTGCCAGCTAGTCCGCTTTCAGGGCGATATTACAGTATCCATCAGATTGTGCCAAATTCAACGTATCTCAACTGCAGCTTTGCCTTGGTGTTTGTTGGTATGCAAATAAACAGAAGTGAAGTTAGCGGTTTGATAATGATGTTGGCGCAAGTGCGTAAGAGTGATTTAAGATCGAACATAGCATTACCACCATAATTTGCGGTACATCACTATACGAAACCCCTCATGTTGGTGTTTCAATACTCTTTAGGAGATTGAAAACCATTAGCGCAACATGGATCATGGATAATGATATACGCAAAACAAAAAACGAACATCAGTGTTAAGCGCAGGAAAAATGATTTGCGCAGGTTTGAAATCTTGTTATTATGATTATACGAACACTTCGAATGATGCTCTTCTGACATCAAATATCAACAAAAATAGCACTGGACGACTACTTAATTCGTCGGACCACCGGAACGATTTATGACTTCAAGGATGTTTGACATGCATTTCAACCCTCCGCCGCCGCACTGACGTGATACAGTACAACGCGAAGGTTGTGCGCATTGCCAAACTGTTCATTATCGAGAAGTGAATTGGTAATCAAGGGAGACGTCAAAGACATTGCCGGGCACACCATGGCATTCCGCTTCCAAGATTACGCTCTAAAAAGTAAAGGACTCTTTACGCAACTCTGCTCAGTAAGTTGAAACCATCGCAACCAACGGTGTGTCCGATTACGTGAAGGAAGCACAAATTTCGAGGTATATGTAGGATTACCTTCGACTTTACCATTTTTGATCGAGGGCCGTGTTTTCACGAACAAACTTCGTTTTCTTCCTTGTTGCAAGAAAGTAGGACAAAATGCAAATTTCATTTTCGCTCAAACATGGTACTCATTTTGTCGGATATAGAGAAATGTGGGTTTTGGCACCAGCAAATTGAGTTCCTGCTTTATATCATTGGCACTCTTGGAGAGATCTTGTCCTTGACATACCTTAACACTCATCTCTTCTGCCGAGTTTCTTCTTGCGGCCTTTCTTTTCACAGTATCCTATCTTACAGGATCACTTAGAAAATTTTTGACGACGCAAGTTATGCGGCCGATCAGCCCATCGCCCTCAGACCAATGCCCGCGCGAGAGAAAACATGTAATTGTTTTTTACACGTTTTGTCAGGCTTCTTGCAAGGCATTGTGCAGATAACGAGCGCAAACCGAGGTTTTCGTATAATAATGATATTAATTCACTTTGAACTCAAATTTCTTATCTAAGATCGACTTGTTGGAAAGACAAGACAAAGTCTTGGAAATCAAACATAATCTCTTATGCAGTGAATCTTTAGGGCTCATCATTCCAAAAAGCATATGTGCCCGCGATTTAAGAAATATTTGCATGATTACGAACGCAGTAAATAAAAGGCAGTATCCAGTAGATCATGCACAATCTCAAAAACTTGCGATAAAGCTGCACGAATTTGGGTAAACATGTTCATCAGATCGTGAAATCCCAGAGAGCTTAACTTTGAACTAAGTTTGAGAATTCTTACAGATCCAAGCCTTTTAAGCGGTACCATTAAGAAGAGGTCTTCTTTTTTTTCACATGCCAATTTCAAGCAACCACGCTTCTTGCTTCGTCACTATTCTAGGATTCTCTACATGTATAGAACAATGACCGAGATGAAATTCATCAGATTTTTTCTGATGCGAATAAATTTTTGCAGACACCGCACAGCAAGGAACGGTGTTTATGTGCTGATCTTGAGTCTGCCCTCCATCCTGTATGGCTTACTGTCCATGACTTTTGGTTATGTATTTCCTTCGTACACCAAGATAGATATGTGCAGTCCGCCTGCGTCTCTGCACGAGGTAGTTAAAAATCCTTGGTACGGTGTGGCAGGAGCAGCTGGAGTGATTACTGTAGCCAGCTATGGAGCCGCGTTTTTTGTTCTTCGATGCCAAGGTTTGTCCTTTCGGTTTTGAGTATTATAAACATGTTCTGTCCGTCATTCTTTATAAGCATTCAATATAAGCCACGTATTAGTAGAACGCGGAAACCAAGAGCAGGAGTTGGCGAAGAGATCGATGCGAACTTTGACTGTAATTCTTATCATATTCGTGTTCGCTCGTTACACGACCACATTGGCTGCAAATGTATTGCTTTGGATGCAAGCGCCCAAAGGCATATTTTCTTATTTTCAATACTACAGCGTGAGTGTATCCTGCTACTATCTTCCTTGCCACTTGTCTGTAAAATAAAGAGAATCTTAATGGAAATTGTGTTTGCAACTGTAATCTTCTACCTATACTTATCACTTAATCTAATTACATAGCATTTGATTTCTTCCTGGCTTTTTTTCCCTCAAAAAGGCCTTTACTTGCAGACATTTCCAGCCATGATTTGCTACAGCCAGAACTTCTATGTAACTTACTGGAGGAGTGCTGATTACCGCAGGCAACTGAGGAACCAACAAGCGAAAGTGCACAATGCTCTCTTTGGTCAATGTTGTCCAGTTGAAACAGAGAAATCCCTCTTTGTAACTTCAAGAGCAACTACTCATGTCACTGTTACAACAGTATGAGCAAGACCAGAAAACGTTGCATTTCTTTGCGCATCTCTCTATACACGTAATTAGTGGGCAAAATAGGCATATTATGATTATTATCTATTATTACATTCTTATTACAACCGCATAATCTTGAATAAAATGTTCTATTACTTTCTTAGAGTAAATATTAGGCTGGAAAGTAAGTTTAACTATTCTCGTAACTCAACCTCTTTGCATGTGGCGTACTCAAACTTGGGCAGTGTGTAGAGCGTGGAATGAGCTACAGTTCACTAAAAATCATTGTATTTTGAGAACGAATCAAAAAAATTCCAGGCTTTTTTTCGAAAACTAGTGAATTTTGAGAATTTTCGGGGTTTTGAGGCAAAATGAAATTGTTGGTAATCTAGACCATGCGCAATAATCCGGAATCGTATTTAATTGTTGCTAGAGGTTTACCTCGGCTCGTCAAAAAAGAAATAAAATTTAAGGAAAGTCGAGATTTGGCGCCCTCACAACAACTTCGAAGGAGTTGCTGGCGCTGGGGACAACCGTCAATGACTAAGGAGTCAAAACTAACATCCCCGACCCTTTACACACTAAGGTTCTTTGACCTGCTAAAAACGAATATCATATTCGTTTGTTGAATCAACGCTTCTTTGCTTGCTTAAGATGGGACCCTATCATAGGTGCGATAGTGTGAGAATTTGCTCACCCCCCTTTCACCCCTGAGCCGAGATCAGGTTGACCCCCTTCACCAAAAGCCGAGGAAAAATTAACAAATTAAATTAACACATACTTTATTGTATTGGAGGGGGGAGACTTTGGTATGAAAAGGCTCCCCTCCCGGGCATAATTCGTAGGAGGCCCTAAACCCCCACATATTATATATCATCTGAAAGCTTTTGATGAGTAGAATCTAACCTATGAACTCTCAACATGATTCATGCAGTTCTGAAGAAGTTATGAGCTGTTGAAGTTCAAAAAGCGCTTTTTTACCTGCTTATTCAAGACTCTGGATCTCGGAGGTGTTTCAATGGGTCGGGACGGCTAAGATATATTCTGATAAGGCAAACCTTATTCTACAAAACCTATGAAGTTGCAACATCACACACTTTCACATTCAAGATTTATATGAGTTTAACTGTCAACTGTCGAAAAACACGCAAAAATGGCGTAAATTTTTAGAATTCTGGTTTTCAACGACTATCTCTCAAATCCACTCGATTCTTTCACTATCTGATAGAGCACCATTTACTATTCAGAACCTATGAAGTCGCAACTGCTGACATCTTCAAACAACAGATCTATAACAGTGAAAATTTTGCATGATTTTTCACTATTTAAAGGCAGTGTCCAGGCTAAACCTAACCCCCTCCGATTAGTGTCGATTCTGAAAGTAGGCCCCAGAAAAGGGGCATCTGCGTTGGTCCGGTCTTCTAACGTTGTCTCTGAATGGAGATAAGGGACCTGAAACTCCCTGGCTGGGCGGAGTCTGATATCAGACTCCGCCCAACAGGGACTGCTCACTACCTTGTCAATACGTGCCTCCCGACACGTATTGACAAGGTAGTGGGCAGAAGCTGCACACTGCACACTGCAATGCAACTGCACCCATGCAATTGCAGCTCCTTCCCGCTGGCCTGCCGACGGGGACGAGCAGTTCGAAACTCGTCCGCGCCCTCAAGACTGGGTCCCCAAAAATCGGGTTTTTTGTGAATTTTAGAAAGTTTGAAGTGCGAAACTGTAATCAGGGCCACGGAAAGGCCCCAGAATGACAAAAACGTGGGAGGCCAAATTCTGGGTGGACGCTGCCTTTAAATATTCAAAATTCTAAACTTCGGCCGTTACTGCCTGGATCGATCTACATTCTTCGCTGTACGTTATAACAAAATTTGCTTAATAAAATCCGTACAGTTTCGCCAAGTTTTACTTCCAAATACACCATTTATTGATCACGTTTATTTTAAATATATATGTCGCCGTATACATAAATATATGCTTTCAATAATCTTTTTTGCGTTTGTTTTGCTTATTTTCCTTCTTTATCGTTCAACGAAAGTTTTTTATTCCAAAATTGAAGGTGGTCACCCTGTACCAGCTCAAAAGTGAAGGTAGGGGGAGAATCGGCTCCCACTACCGCATCTCTGTGTAGCTGCACAGCAAGTCAGCAAGGAAAGTTCCGTGGTACAACGTTCCCATCTGGTTTCAGGGAATAAATTGTTTGCCTAGAGTCCGTTAATAGAAGTATCTAATAAAACATGTGCTTGGTGATTTCTGGACACCATAGGTGCGAAGGCCTGAGATGGGTACCCTCCAAAGTGAAGGGGGTCTCAGGAGTTTTTGACCCTCAAAAGTGAAGGGGGTCCAAAAATTGCCGACGTCGACCGGGGGGGGGGGGATTGAAAAAAAATAAATTTTCAATTTTTTAACTTTAATTTTTCCAAATTTTAATTTTAACAATTTTCCAATTTTTTGCTTTTAACCCCCCTCACTGGGACGAAGCAGGTGCTAAGGTGAGTTAGTTAGATTAAAGTTGAGATATCGGAGCTAAAATCCAATTTTAGGCATTCCATGGGACGAGCAGTATTGAGTCGATATGGGAGGGCGCATGGTCGTGAAACGAATGGCTGGAGTGGTGCCTACACGTGGGCTTGTTGGACGAGACTCTGAAAAAGACATTTTGTGGTTATAATGTGGATATAAATTGAATAATTTGCCATCGTATTGTGTGTATAAGGATAAACAATAAATGGAATTGTTGTACACAATTGAATTTGTATATACTGAGTGAAGGCAGGAAGATAATCAGAATAGGAAAGGTAAGATATTGGAGTTTGATGATCAAAAGAGAAAGCTGCTGGAAATAAGTTCTATAAAGGTAGAGGGAGAAGGTAAGTCAGGTATCAGGTACTCAGGTAAGCTTCCGATGTAAGCTGATAAGGAGAAGCACGTTTGAGTTGCCAACTTTACCCCCCCCCCCTTTCGAGCCAAAAAATTTCCATATCTCGGTGGGGGGGGGGGGGGGGTCATCTCATGATTTAGTTTTTTTTTATCTTGTAAGGGAGAGTGTGCTTGAGATAACTAGGGCTGTCGCAAAAGAATCTGCTGAAGCAGAACTTCTGAAGCTTGAATTTTACGCACAAATTTATGCGTCTTCAACTCGGTGCTGTTCCTCTCCTTCCTTAAAGCAGATCCTTTTGCGACAGCCCTAGTTATATCAAGCACACTCTCCCTTACAAGATAAAAAAACTAGATCATGAGATGACCCCCCCTCCCCCACCGAGATATGGAAATTTTTTGGCTCGAAGGGGGGGGGGGGTAAAGTTGGCAACTCAAACGTGCTTCTCCTTATCAGCTTACATCGGAAGCTTACCTGAGTACCTGATACCTGACTTACCTTCTCCCTCTACCTTTATAGAACTTATTTCCAGCAGCTTTCTCTTTTGATCATCAAACTCCGATATCTTACCTTTCCTATTCTGATTATCTTCCTGCCTTCACTCAGTATATACAAATTCAATTGTGTACAACAATTCCATTTATTGTTTATCCTTATACACACAATACGATGGCAAATTATTCAATTTATATCCACATTATAACCACAAAATGTCTTTTTCAGAGTCTCGTCCAACAAGCCCACGTGTAGGCACCACTCCAGCCATTCGTTTCGCGACCATGCGCCCTCCCATATCGACTCAATACTGCTGGTCCCATGGAATGCCTAAAATTGGATTTTTCAGCTCCGATATCTCAACTTTAATCTAACTAACTCACCTTAGCACCTGCTTCGTCCCAGTGAGGGGGGTCCAGTCCCGATTTTTGCTTCCTTTTCCGCATTCTCATTCCCTACACTCTGTAAATAAATTCTTTTACCTTAAATTGTACTTCACTTCAAGCACACTATCATCTCACCTCAAGATATTTTCTTTCTCCGTCCAAAGTGAAGGGGGGGGGGTAGCCCAGGCTCCAAAGTGAAGGGGGGATGAGATTTTTCTCAACCCTTCGCACCTATGCTGGACACTTACGAGTTCTCAACATAAAAACATGTATTTTGTAGATGAACAGCTGGTACAAGGAAATAGTGACCATCGAAACCGCCTCGTTCTTTCTGAAGATTTTCGAGTTTCTAACATGAACTTTCATAACATTTATAGATGAACATCTTTTACGCCGGGATGGTCACCCTTGGAACCGCTTTGTCCTCCGCTTTCAGAAAATATAAATATACTTTGCCTGGGGTTCATTACAAAAAGTGCCGTGTGAGGGGTGGATGAGACTTTTATAATGGAGTGCTCAAGTGGAGGTTTACCATTGTCAAAAGACGTCTAGTTGAGCGCTCCCATTATAAAAGTCTCACCCACCCTTCACCCGGCACTTTTTGTACCCCAGGCAAAGTATATATTTTCTAAAAGCGGAGGACAAGACGGTTCCAACAATAACCATCGCGGCGTACAGGATGTTCATCTACAAAAGTTATAAATTTTTTTCTGTTAAAAACTCGAAAATCTCCAAAAAATCTCTCGGACACCCTACACCTAGGCATTTTTTTAAACGGACCCCAAGCAAAGTATATATTCTCTAAAACGAATGACAAAATGGCTTCAACGGTGGCCATCCATGTACTAGTTGTTTATCTTCGGAAGCTACGGATTTTTTTATCCTAAAAACTCGTAAATATCCAGAAATCACTACCCACACCCTTCACCATGCACTTTTTTGAACAGACTCCAGGCAAATTATACATGCTCTAAAGCGGAGGACAAGATGGTTTTAAAAAAGATTTCCCTTGCTGACGTTGCTTTTCATTTACAGAAACTACGAATTTCTTCTTTTAAAAAATCGTAAATGCTTAAAAATTGCCTAACTCTTTCCGAAACAAATGTTCTCGCATGCACATCTTCTATGGTAATTTAAAACAGGAGGGGTGATGTAAAAAAGGGAAAAGGAAATATAAACAAATACAAGGTGCTGTTCAGAAATATGATTATGTGCTAACCCAGCAGCACATCGGTTCACATTTCAAGAAAAGACAACCAGTAATGGCAAGGAATTAAATTATAAACTTTGACTAA